TATCAGCAAAGTGTTACTCAATCCATCAATGAATCAAGTTCATTGCCTTCTACTAATAGTCAGTCAAGCATGATGCCATCCATAAGTCAGACTAGTATAAGCACAGTGTTATCTACAAGTCAGTTGAACACAGGGCTATCTACAAGTAGTATAACAAAATCCATTACACCATCTCCATCCATAAGTCAATCAGTTATTGAATCGTCCATTAATGTATCAAGCACAATACCATCAATCAATCAAGCATCATCAGTACATACTTCAGTGATATCTCTCACAGAAACAACAACGACAGCCACATTTCAGTCGAGTACATCTTTTCCTTCCCCATCGCCTTCTCCAGAAGGTTAGCTCCACATTGAACATTTGATATAATAGCATTTAAAATTTTATAGGGCCACATGTATACATGAATACAACAGTTCAAGCAGTCAATGATACAACTGTACAACTGAATTGCAGTAGAGCATTTCCTCCTTCAACAATTAACTGGCATTTCAATGGTAGCAAGCTAAGTAATAGTACGAAGTATAACATTACAAGATCAAACCTACTGTACATTTATAATGTCTCAGTAAATGATGCTGGAGTATATTACTGTGGCACATCTGATGTGTTTGATGATGCCACAAGTGACAGAGTAATGCTATCAGTTCAAGGTAACACAATTATTTTTAACATTTTTATTTATTTTGTTGTTTATATTAGTGCCTCCAACATTTTATGATGCAACATTGACAGACAAAGCTGTTGTAATTGGTAAAAGTATTATTCTAAAATGCTTAGTGTTTGGTGTACCACGACCAGTAGTAACATGGTTAAAGGAAGGAGTCAATGTTATTGATAGTCAATATATTACTAATAATGTTATTTCAGACAATAGAGTATCAAGCGTTCTCACTATAGACAATAGTGAAAGAACATCAGAAGGAAATTACATGTGTCAGGCATCAAATGATTTAGTTGAGAAAAGATCTATCAATGCAACTGCCTATGTTGCAATATACTGTAAGCTATATAAAATTTTAGTTTATAGTATTAATGGTATCTAATAACATAGTTCCAGCAAACATACAACCAGATAATGAAAGAATTGAAGCAGTGTGGAACGAAACAGCAAATATTTCATTCACAATCACAAACAAAGAAGATATTATAAATATTACTAACATTAAATGGGAATTTAAGTCAATTACTAACAATACATATTCTAATATTTCTGGTAGCAAGCTTTATAGAGTTTTTTCATCAATCAATGTAAACGACAGAGGATTGTACAGAATAATAGTCACAACTGAAGCTGGAATCATGACATCAATGGCTACTGAGCTGGATGTTTTTGGTTAGTATAATAATAATAACAATAAATGGCATTGTTATATCTCTGCACAGTACCAGCAGTCTTATTAAGCTATAACGGAGAAGAGAAAAAAAGAAAGAGTGGTCAAAATGTAACCTTTAACTGCACTGCTGATGGCCTTCCACGACCAAAAATAGTTTGGAGGAAAGATGGACAACTAATTATTGAGGGCAGAAAGAGAATAATTTCAACATCACAAGAAATTAAAGGATTTCGAAACATTTCTGATGTCCAACAAATAACTAGTACTCTGACAATTACTGATCTTGTGAGAGGTGTAGATAATGGCAGCTATTCATGTAGAGCTGATAATGAAGCTAATATTGGAGATGTACTGGATACTTCTTATACACTGGTGATAGATCCATTAGATGAAGGTATGTTACTGTTAAAAATAATACTTCATATTAAATCTCATTGTCTTCAACTTCAGTACTGCCACCTCAAAATTACTGTCTACCATTTCCTTGTCAGAATGGGATATGTGAGAGTCTAAATGGTGATTTCTTGTGTGTATGTGATGAAAAATTTACTGGGAAACACTGTCAAATAGGTAAGGACCACAACACTTTTTAAAAATTATGCCATTCATATTGTAGAGGTCATGAATTACATTGCACCAGTGATCACTGAGCCACCAAAACACACAACTGCTAGCCTCTATTCTTCAGCCAGCCTTACTTGTAGAGCAACAGGATCTCCCATCCCTACCATTCATTGGTATAAAGATAATAGAATAATTGCAAATAAGAACAGTGACCCTTCTGTGCTGTTCTTTCCTGAACTGGATCTCAGTGATAGAGGATTCTACCATTGTGTTGCTAGCAACATCATTAATGGAAAGAAAGAAGCAATAAGATCACCAGTGATACTGCTCAACATAACAAGTAATTTAACTACAAAATACACCTAATCACTATAACAATGTTTATATAGATGTAGTTCAGTATGAAGCTGAAATGGATTTACCACCAGATTTTTATAATTCTACTGAATCGACAGAAGATTTAATTTTGAAGCTTATTCAATCAAGCAACAATTATTTATCAGGCAGTAATATTAGTAATACATCTTTCTTTTACATTGAAATCCTCAATGCTGAAACAATTTTGTGAGGAAAATATGTTGTAAGATTTATTAGTTAAACATTTTCTATAGACAAAATACAAGTCACATGCCTGACAAACTACCAATAGTGGTTACACTAGTGACAGAGAGAGGTCAAGGTGATAATACCTTGTTGACTGGAGTAAAAAATCAATTGGACTCACTCAATCAACAGCTCAGTGTAAAGATATCAATCATTGAATTGAATAGATTTGGTAAAATCATTGATAAATACAAATTTGTAATCAAAGTTGGTAGTTATTGCCCCTTGGCCTATTTCAACATTCATAACAATTATTAAATATCTCCCTCTAGATGGTTGCCCCTCAAACTCAACAATCATTCCATCTCAATCTGGAGATACAAGACTAGACATAAGTGTGCTCTGGCCAGAGACTAATATTGGAGTGGAAGCAATAGTTGATTGTCCATGTGGTGACAATGATACATCATCAAGTGGCAGTGAATTGAAAGCTTTCAGATACTGTGGAGGGGATTTTACTAATGGAGCTTTTTGGACTACAATTGATGTATCACGATGTAACTTCAGTGATTTAGCACGTAAAATATGTAACTTAAGAAATGTAAGACAAATTATTACTATAATATAAAATTAGATACTACAATTTCAACAGCTTCCAGTAGATCGAAAAGTTCAGCAGCTGGAAGAGCTGACAAGTAATACACAGGAATTAAAATCTACTGAAGTGACTGCAAGTGTTAGTATTTTAGTGACTGCTACCGATGACGTCTCTGGAAATATAACAGTAATTAATATAACTACAATAATTAACACTAAGCACATTACGTTTCCAGCTAACATCAACATTTTTGGAAGTGGTGGACAACATTTTAGTAGTCAATCAGGAGGTTTTAGAAGAAAGTCAGAAATCATCAAACACATCAGCAAAGTCAGTTCACATCATAAATAAGGAAGTACATGAAAATTGAATTATACATTATAGATTATTGAAGGCTATTGAATCAGTTGCGGAGAATATTCCAATCACTAACTCATCAGAACCAGTAGTTATTGCACAAACATCGTTTGCTGTGTCAATACAACAGGTTGATCTTGATGACTTTGAAGAAAGTGGTCAAAACTTTAGTGTAATCATCAACAATACATCAAAAGGAAACTTAAGCTCTGAAAGTTTATCTTTTGGAAAGCCAATTAGCTCACCAACAGCTTCAATTAGTTTACCAAAAAGTTTATTCAATGCTGTCCCACACTTCATCAATAATACTAGAATCA